TTTGAATAATCTGCATTGCTCAGAATATTGCTTTATATTCTAAGTATGTATGTCTCAGGAGAGCATTTAATCACTGTTAAAATGCAAGTCTCATGTGGTCCTGTGGAATGATCTGTTGTAGTGATAGGTTTCTGTTTCAGTAAAACTTCTGGAGACAGTAAAATAAAGTATATTAATTCATGAATAGCAATGATAACTCTCTTTATGCTGCTGCTGCTACTACTAAGTTAAAATGGGAACTGAGAAGAGATGATTATCTGGTTTAAGGCACAGTGATAATAAGCATGTCACATCAATAACCTTATATAATTTAATGCTTGAACCATAGTTATTACCACCTGTGTTTTTTCATTGAGGAAAACAAAGTTTCATGTATTTAAGACACTTGCCCAAGGTAGCGTCCCTACCAAATAATGCACACTCTTGAGTTTACACACTTTTTAAAAAGATTTATTTGTTTTTATTGACAAGTCAGTTGTACAGAGAGGAGGAGAGATCTTCTAGCCATTGGTTCGCTCCCCAAGCAGCCACAATGATTAGTTCAGTGGGAAAAAAAATTAGAACAATGGGCTTTGAATTCCTAGAAATTAAGCTAGCCTAGTTCGCTCAAGCAAAATTTTTCTTTCTCAATTAAATGTCTACTTTTGTAAATTTGAAGTTTCTGTTTATAAAAAGGGAACAGATTTCAGGTATTTCAATATGCAGGTTTAAGAACTTAATGATGTTTCTCACCCCACTGTCGTTGCCTCCCTTGCTCCTGTCCTTCCTCTTCTTTCTTTTTTATTTTTCTTTTAATTTTTTTCTAATGACCCTTTTTTATTTAAGTTATATGCACATACTTACATATTCATTAAATAAAGAATTCAAGTAAGTAGTAAATAGAAAATCGCTGTTACCCTGGAATATAGACAAGGACCATAAAAATAATCAACTCTCAAAATATCAATTATACTCATGTGTTCCTCTTTTTGTACTCTGCATGTTATTTGCTGCCCTTCTGGAAAAAAAAACAACTAAAATGTGTTTTTGGGTACTAGCTTATTAGGACTAAGGATCTCTATTTGTATCTATTTTGTTGTAAAAGACAGAATGTCATTCTTTTTATTGCTGAGTAGTATCTACCATGTGTATAGCCCACAGTTTATTTATCTGGTCATCAGCTGATAGACACCCAGGCTAATCACCATTATAGTCAGAAGGTTAATGTTCTAGTGAACATAGAGTTTCAACAAACAAAAATTAAAATGACTGTAATTCAGCAGAAATCAAGCATGAGTTATTAACAATAATCAAATGAAGCTATGTTTAACTTCACAATAGTAGTATATAATTACTGATTCATTTCACAAAGATTTGTGACAAAATTTTGAACATTGTATTTGTTATAAAACTAATGCAGTGAGAAATATTTTTCTTTATTTTCTTCAATTTTTGTTCCCACTTAATAGGGAAACATGTAGGATTTGTATTCTTTATCCATCTTGATTCATTCAACTTGATGGCCTCCAGTTGCAACCATTATGAGGCAAATGATAAACAATAGCCCATAGTGAATGTACACTACATTTTCTTTATCCATTCATCTGATGATGATCACTTTGATTGATTCTATATTTTGGCTCCTCTCAAAAGTCCTACCATACATATGGTGGCCCTGGTATCTCTTTTGATACATGGTGTTTAGTGTTCTGTACCTTTTGGGTATGTATCCGGTAGTGTGATCTATCCAGTGGATCTGGTCAGGCTGTATCTAGGTATTTTTCAGAAATCTTCTTACCATTTCTCACAGTGGCTACACTAAGTTGTATTTATACTATAGTGTATAAGAACCTCCACTTTCTCCACAATGTTGCCAAAATCTCTTGCTCTCTGCTTTTTGGATAAAAGTAATCTGACAGGAGCAAGGCAATATCTCATTGTGGTTTTGATTTGCAGTTCTCTGGTAGCTAGGGATGCTCAACATTTTTTTTCATATATTCACTTCTTGGATATTTGTACTTCTCTTGACTACTGCTTATTAAAATCTGTTGCCCATTTCTTAAATGGGTGAGATGAATGGTTGTTGTTGGTTTGAGTTTTTTGACTTGCATATATATATTCTGGATATTAATCCTTTGTCAGATAAATAGCTTGCAGATTTTGTTTTTGTTCTATTGAATGTCTCTTCACTTTATTGTTTCTTTTTGTGTGTAAAAGTATCTTCATCTAATATAACCTCATGTCTCCAGTTTTAGTTTTATTGCCTGTACTTTGGAAGTCCTATCCAAGAAGTCTTCATCTTCACAAATGCCTTTAAGTGTTTCCACTACATTTTCTTCTAGGAACAATATAATCTCAGGACTTAAATTTAGATCTTTGATTTTTATTTATGGAGAGAGGTGAGGGTATGATTTCATTCCTTTATTTATGTGCAACCAGCTTTACCAGCCTCATTTAGTGAAGAGATTATCCCAGCTCCAATGAATGGTCTGGGCACATTTGTCAAAAACCAGTTCCTGTATATACATGGATTAATTTGGGGACTCTCTCAGTTATAAACATTTTAAACCCTTTCTTTGAGAGGGTTATTTTAGTTTATTACAGGTAATCAGTCTCATGAAAGGAAATCTTTAAGTTTTAGGAAAAAAATCTATATGGGTGTCATATGATGCTCTAATTCTTGATTAGCTAGAATTGTTCAAAGTAGTTAGATCAACTGAGGTAAGCCATGTTAAGCTTCAGCTTTGGATGCCAATAGCCTGTATCAGAGTGTGTGTTTGAATCCTGGCTGTTTTCTTTTTGACCTACCTTCCTGTGAAAGCATCTGATAAGGCAAAAGAAGATCAGTATGTTTGGTCTTTCGCCATTCATGTGGGAGAATAAGATGGTGTTCCTGCTCCTGGCTTCAGCTTGGCCTAGTATATGCTGTTGCAGTCATTTTTGTAATGAACTAGCAAATAGAAGATCTACTCTCTGGGTTTTTTTTTAACCTCTCTCATTTTTACTATGAATTTCAAATATATAAATAAGTAAACTTTAATCTCTTAAAAATGTAACTTTAAAGATGTGTTTGAATTTGTACCTTTCATGATTTTAGAAAAAGTAATTGTCATGATTTTGTAAGATAATCATGATTCCTTTTCATACAATTATTTATTAAAGCAATTTTTCCATCATTTCAAAATAACTTATTATCTTAAAATGTTTTCAAGAAGATTTACTAATTTATTTGAAAGGGAGAGTAACAGAGATAGAGGGAGTGTTGAACAAAGAAATGAACCCCTTGGTACATTTACCTGATGGCTGCTAGAGGCAGGACTTGACCAGGCCAAAATCAGGAGACTGTAACTCCACCTAGGTCCCCCACATGGGTCTTATGGGTCTGAGCACTTGAGCCATCTTTTGCTGATTTCCAGGTAAATTAGCAGGGAGCTGAATTGCAAATGGAGCATACAGAACCTGAACAAATGCAAGCAATGCGGGCTATGGCTTAATCAACTGTGCTACAATGGTAGCTCTGTGTTCATTATTTTAATTGATATTTTTGAACTAATTTTCCTGTCCCTCTTTTCTATCACTTAGAACCATACAATAGGAGCAGTTACAAGCATTTTGTTGAAATAGGACAACACAGGTATTAATATTAAAGTTTAAAACAAATTTGAAGAAACAGTAGAACTATCCACTTCAGTACAATGTCACCTGAGCACTGTTGTCCAGTCATTTACCCTTGAGAGGTACGATCATCCACATGCCTGTGGTGTTCTACTACCTATTTCACAGTGAGGCTCCAGGGAAACATATGCATTATAGTGTTTATGATGGCATAACGCAGTCATTTATTTTGTAGAGTTTGTCTTACAGAAAAAGAAACCTGAAGCGTGATGGCTGGTATTTTCACTTTTAGAATTTCCTGTTATTTGTTAGCCATAACATGCTTATGGTTATGAAACCAATAATAAAATCTATAGAAACAAAAATGATGATCATCATCATTAAATGCAGACAAATTGATCAAATGACAAATAGACATGAAAGATACAGAAACCTGGATTTGCTGCTTTATCACCTTGATGGCATCCCTCCATAACTTTAGCATTCAGTTTCATTACATAAGAAAATAATAGGTTACGCGAACTGAGACCTAGGATTCTGTTCTGCTTTATATTTATGCAAAATTACGTTGGATATGAGAGAATCCTCTTTATCTGCTCACTTAGAGACATTAAATTAGGGGAAAGATATAATCAGTTTGTATCCAGTGGCCCAAACAGAACAAAATAAATATGCTTGTGGGCTTTCCTGTTTTATCCGCTTGTAGTTTCTGTGATATGCATGTGCAATATTTTACATGGTTACTATACAAAGCTATGGTTATACTTTCCTAGAATTTGATGGTTGGTAAGTTATGAAATCTTTTTTCCCCTGGAGGTTATTTCTGAAAGTCTTTAATATCTTTGTTTTATCAGTGTGTAAGAAACATATGTATATGTATTTTAAATTTTCATTTATAAAATTGGTTACAAATAGGGAGCAAGATGAGTAAACAAAGATTTTTACTGGTTAATCCCTAAATTTCCAAGGAAACCAAGTTTGTGCCATCTGGAATCCAACAGCGCAGAACTCAGTCTCTCTCTGATGTGGGTAACAGGGAATCAAGCACTTGAGCTGTGACCTACTGTCTCTCAGGGTGCGCATTATTAGGAAGGAAGATCTGAGCTGAATTCTTATCTGGACGTTTTGATGTAAGATGTTCAGTGTCTTAAGTGTCATTAAACAGTGAGCATACTCCACTCAGTATTTTTTGGTAGTCATTGTTTATAGTTAACTTTTATTTGAAATGGAAACAATGCAGCAATAGCATTATTCAAACATTCTCTTTGTTTTAAGCAGATATTTTAATTTAAATTGAATGGAGCAAATAGCAATGTTAATGGTTTTCAAAAGCCCAAGCATCCTCATCATGCTTTGAGAGAGGTTTTTTTTTTAACCTTTTTGTTTTTTTCTGTTTCTGCGTATAGAACTTCAGATGGTGGCAAAGTGGTTGGCACCATAGAAGTCAGTGTCGTGAAGATGGGGGAGACTGAAGATGGAGAAACTGACCACATTACAACAGATATGCAGGGACAAAAGGTAGGTTCTCAGCCAGCTCAAGGCACAAACTAAATTAAAAACAATCAGCTTTGCCAGATGCCTTTTCTCCTGACACTCTGAGGGTTTGCAAGTCACATTACTCATAAGGTAAATGAAGCACAATGTGTGTGTTTCATCTCCTGGATGAGAGGGTCTATTTGCAAGGAACTGTGCAAAGCTGTGCATCATTCAGAGATACCTTTCCCTTTGCTGCCAACTGCCTTATTCATACTGCTTCTTCCAATTTGGAACAAAAATATTGATCGTTTTGCATTCTGATAATAAGCTGCATGGGTTAAGAGAAGACTCAGAGAGTGATATTACCAAAAGTAACCTACTCTTCAACTCCAAAGGCTATGTTGGTTTGCAGTTTTAGTTTGGATTTAATTTTTATATGAAATCCAGTAGATTAAACAAGAACTTTTTTGCCTTATGTACTTAGTGAAAGGTAGGAAATATATAGAGCAAGGAGCTGGTGCGCGATCTGAACGAGTGAAATGACAGCTAGAACAAAAGCAGTTTTTATGAATCCTGAGATGAAGTCTCAATGCATGTAAATAGGGAGCCAGGAACTTTTGCTTTCTATAGTAGAGAAAAATCTCCATGTAAACAAGAGTCTAAATTCCTTTCTTAGGATATAATTACCTGTTGTATTGAGACAATAGAGGTTCAGGGGACAGACATCTCTGGTTATGAAGCTGAGTTTACTTTTCCACTGCAAGTACTAAGTTTGTATTAATGAGAAAGAAAAGAAAGAAAGAAAGAGAGAGAGAGAGAGAGAAAGAAAGAAGGAAGAAAGGAAGGAATGAAAGAAAAGAAAGAAAAGAAAAGAAAGAAAATAAAGAGAAAGAAAGAAAGAAAGGAAGGAAGAAAGGAAAGAAGGAAGGAAGGAAGGAGGAAAGGAAGAAATAGCAGTGCTTTTTAGGACTTAGTTTCTGGTGAGTGCTCCTCATCTTTTGCCTGTCTGAATTTCGGTAATTATGAAACAGCTACACACTATAGGCCATTCGGCTAGCACTTAACTAAGTTTACCTTTCAAAATGCTTTTTTCTTGCCCTAGAATAGCCTAAGTAGTTCTAGTTGTTCTCTACTACCTGAAGCCTTTACTTTATATATAACCCTCCCTAATCTCCCCTGGGAATGACTACGTCATGAAAGCATCCGTGGAGTCGCAAAGTAAATGTGATTACTTGCAAATGTCAGGGTCAGGTGAAGTTCTGCAGCAGAATCTGTTTAGTATTGCGCATTCAAGACCCCCGTGTTAGCCCTAGTTTACTACAGTCTAAGCTTGTTCCTTTAGAGGACTCATCTTTGATGTCATCACATGAATTCTTGTTTCCAGACTGAGGAAAGATTTGGGTTCTAACTTGATCCTAACAGTAGAAGCAGGCGAGCCCTCATTCCTGTAACAGTGTGCTGGGAGATTAGGAACAGAACCATTTTCCGTTTCAGAAGAGAATTACTTTGTCTAACACAGGAAATCTATTACCAGCCACCTTCTCATCCTACTTTTATAGCTTGTCCCCTGCTTGATCCTGAATTAGGTCGCTATTATGAGGTAGTATGCTTTAAAACATTCTCTTTTCATAACCATAGAGGTAAGGAATGTGCCCAACAAAGTCTTCCATAATATTGCTGGCTTAATGATGTGTATGCAAAAAGACTTAAGTGAACTATTTTGGAAATAGAAGATGCCAGTAGCAATATATGCCACATATAATTTAAAAGTGGACTAAAATGGTAAACACACAAAGCATTGTTGGCATCAGCTTAGCACTGAGTATATTCTTAGTGAGCTCTGTGAATTTTTAATATTACCATAAACTTTTTTGGTAAACTCTTATATAGACTCAGTAACTGAAGAGTATTTAGTGAGGAATATTTAAAAAGTTATGCTGAGGTAAATATAAAAAGAGGTATGTGAAAATATCTTTGTCTCAGTGTTATTCCAAGTGTGGTCAGAATCATCTGGGGTATTTCTCTTTTTAAGAATGATTTTATTTATTTGAAAGACAGAGAGAGAGTGGGAATGTGTGTGTGTGTGTGTGTGTGTGTGTGTGTGAGAGAGAGAGAGAGAGAGACAGAGAGAGAAAGGCATTTCATTTGCAGTTTAACTCCCCAAATGACTGCAGTAGTCGCTACTGGATCAGGTTGTAGCCAGGAGCAAGAGCTCCTTCCAGATTTCCCAAGTGGGTTCAGGGGCCCAACAACTTGGACCTTCCTGCATTGCTTTCCCAGGTATATTAGCAGGGAACTTAATTGCTGAATTGGAAGTGGATCATCCAGGACTTAAACCAGTGCTGGTAAGTGATGCCAGTGCCACAAGAGTGAGTTCAGCCAGCCCCTAGGATATTTTCTTTACAATTCTGATTTGCAGGATCCTTTCTGTAGATCTGCAAAATAAAAATATGTATAAGTACATTAACACAATCTATTACTAATGGTGGGTTGGACCTGGCATACGTGAAAAGTATCTGAAATAGTTTATTCTTCTTACTGGTTTGGGGAGAAATGACTATACCTACCCTGAACATGAAATCATATGCGGTGAGAGAAACACATGCTATATATTACATAGATTTGAAGCAGGCAAGAGAATAATACTTTGATTAATCAGCTTGGGCTGCCCTGAGGAAATACCAAAGACTGTGCAGATGGAATAGCAGGCATTTATTTTCTCAGAGTTACCGAGGCTAATATGTCGCAGATCAAAGTGCAAGTCAATTCCTAGTGAATAATTAATTCATGTTCATGTGCTGTAGTAACTATACATTATGTGCTTTTCATTTGTGCGTTATGGACCTAAATCTTGAGAATATTCTGGTTGTTATGATTTAAAATATAATGAAATTACAAAAATAAAAACACTATTTAGAAAAAAAAAACCCTAATCTCTGCCTTCTGAGTACCCTCAGGATCCATATTTCCCCAAAGGGCTACTGTCTCAGGAAGAAAGGGCAGTCACAGAATATCAACACCTTCTAGAAATAGCTCCAGTGATCACTGTGTGGCCTAGGGCATGACACCACCTGGCATTGTCTCTGAAGCAAAGTCATGCAGGTACTGGAGGGTGATTTTGTTTTGCTTCCATTTGGATGTTTATAGCTGGTGCCTTTGCCTGGAAAATTTACTCTCTTCCTACTGATTTCCCCCAACTCCTTTAAGTAAAACAAGGAGGAGACTTCCTTGAAAAAACAAATCCTCTATCAAAATCTGCCTAGGTGAACATAAACCACTAATCAATGTACTGAAGCCAGGAGAGTTTTGTTTTCTCTGTTAGTACTGGTTCTCATAGACAGCTGGAGGAAGACACCTGGGTTGGTGATGGACTGCCTAGGCTTGCCTGTCTGACCATTCCCTGGGAACAGGCCCAGCGGCTGTTTTGTCTCTTCTTTCTGCTCAGAGAAGGGTCAATCAACTTATCTAGAAATGGTTCTTAAACCTAAGAGCAAAAGTTTGTATTGTCTCGCTGTAGATTGAAATTTCATTTTACCATATATAATAATTTCTTTTGACACATTTACTCTTTTATTTAATGTTACCTTAACTTTGGAAGATATTAGCTCTCTGGTAATCCAAAATCGGTCAATGTGATAGAAATGCTAAGTGGTTCCGTTTGTTAAGATGAAGGTACTGTACTCAGAACAGATCACTAACAGGTTAGAGATAGTCTTTCTCCTTTTTAAATTTATTCCCTCAGTATCTTTTAACTACAACTATAATATGTCCTATAATGATCTAATACATATATAGTTTGTATAGATATAACTATATAATCACAAATTAATCAAGTTTCATAGTAAGATAAGCCTGAAAACAGTTTGACCAAAAGATTTTCTTAAAACATTTTGCAACTATGCATGGAGTAGTATATTTTGTGAAAAAACGGAGTTCATTTCTCATTTTGAATTTTTTCAAGTAGTATGCAATTATTTTTTCTTTTATTCTTTCCTAGTGTCCCCTGGTATGGGAAAGTACATCCCCAGAAAGTGTGTGCGGAAAAGATAACTTGCCTTTTTTGAATACAGGTATGTAACTCAGTTTTGAATACTGCTGTTATAGTTTCATGTGAACATAAAATTTAACATTCTGTGAGCACACTATTGAACCTGCACAGTATTTGTGAATACCATTTACATATAACTGATAAGTCACAAGAAGCCAGAGAAATGAAAGAATATTGTGCATTTCCATGGAAAAGATAGATGCTTTAGCTGTATAGCAAAGCAAATTCCCTTTAGCTGCTGAATTATGATACTAAAAAGAGAAAATAAAAATTAAAAGGTAAAAGATGGAAATGTGAAATTCTTATTTACATTTCCTAATTATGTGCATTGTTGATAACTACAATCCTTGAATAGGGAAAATCAAGAGCTGTATTTGTACATTTCTGGGTGTACTCATGTGTATTGTGTTTCTCATAGTAATGTATTCAAATTTCAACAAGCGACTATACAATGTTATTAATGCATTTAAGAATAAACATAAGATATATGACATTTAAATTATTTGTGCTGGTTTTCATATATGATTAAGTTTTGAATGCTAAATTATGTAACCGTTAATAATAGTAAATAATGATTATGATGGTGCTAGGAATATGCTAAATGCCTCATAACCTTGCCTTAGCCAGTCCTGTGACTTACACTATAAGGAAGTTACTACCAGTATCTGCATTTTACAGATAAGAAAATTGTTCAGTAGTGGGTCTGGAATTTGACAAATTTTCATTTCTAGACCTTCGATCATAAATATCAGACTCTATTTTTATAAATTATTACACTGATGCCATAGTAAGATAAATCTTACTATATTTTCCTGAATTACTGTAGTCTATGGTTAAGCAGTGACATAGCTAGGATTATGAGATTATTGAATAATACAAAACTTGAAATCCTTACTAATATGTAACCCCTTAATTATTATTAGTTTTCTTTTTGCCAGGAAGCTAAGAATAGAGACTATGGAAGAACAGGAATTCCTATGTTTATACACATAAAGATAAAAATGTTAGTTTAAAAATATATAAATAAAACTTGCCTACTTATGCAGAATGAGAGATCATCTGAAGTACAGTGATTATTCAGCATATAAGCAAATGCCAAGTAATTCTTTTTTAACTATAATTATTTTTATTTTTGATGACTTTTACATAGATGATGAGGCTGATAATGGTGAAGGGCTACTGGAAGGAGGGTGACACCATTATTTCCACATTCTTTTTTTTTTCCTTCCTGTATCTGGGGGAAGATGGGAGATAAGGAGAGAAACCCCACCAAGCCTCCCAAATACCTGTATACCCTGGGGTAGAGGACAATTATTGGACACCAGCCCAGGTGTGCTGATGTGGGTCATGCTATGAGGGTCCTGCTCAAGAAGTTTCATTAGTTGGACAGATCTAAATTACTGCTGATCTCTCCACTCCAAGCATGATGAAATCTCTCCAGAATCCCCTGGTTGATATAAGCTACTTTAGAGTCTCCATTTGCCTAGGTACTCACTGCCAACACTTGGCTGGGGTAGTTGATCAATTTGTTCTATCTTCTGTCCTCTGTTGTGATACCAATTATCCTCTGCAGACTCCAATGTACTGCCATATCAGTCATATACATCAGGATATGCTGTTCACTGCTCTAAGCCACTGAGGAGGCTCAGCTTTGACACATGCACTCCAGAGTCAGACCATGGAGCCTCAATTCTCTCCATGATTGGGGTTCTGAGTCTGGCAATTCAGATGAGGATATCCCCAAAGAAATTTCATCTGAGGTGATGCCAGACCTGTGTGTGTGTGTGTGTGTGTGTGTGTGTGTGTGTGTGTGTGTGTTTCAATTCAGGGTATGGCACAGTTGGCCAGTCAGCTTATGCACATGCTGGTGGTTACAATTGCTGGGTCAGTTTTGTCTCCAGCTCTGTCTTTTATACAAACCAATGGGTGTTGCAGCCCAGCCCAATTCTGCCCACGTTGCATCCTGGTTGGAGTGACCCTATCAGACCCACCCCCGGCCTTGGCTCTCATGCCTGCTAGTACATACAGTAGACTGGCTTGGTCTGTCCCACATCCCATTCAGCATTGAAGACTATTTCAACACAACCAGCCCCACTATCCAGCTCACACAGCTGCTGGTGGGTGCCACTCTGTCTAGCCATGCCTGCCCCAGTCCTGGTTTTCATGCTTACCAGTCAGAGTGGCAACCCAAAAGGGAGGTGCCCACTGTTTTCCTACTGGGCCTACTCCCACTCCTGGATCTTGCACTTTCCAGGTGGTTCTACAGTTTAACTTGACAGAATTTGCCCCCATGCCAGCATCTGCCACTTGATGACATAGCAAAAATCCCAACTAGCCTACACCCACTCTGGTTTATGCCTGCACATGTAGGAATAGTCAACCCAGTCTGGCTTTCCCCTGACCCAGCTCACATGAGGCCAACAGGTGTTGTAGTCCTGTCCAGCCTGGTCTGCCCCCATCCCAACTCTCATGCTCACCAGTAGGGCTCGTGGTTCAGCAAGGGAACCCCTCACAGCCCCCCTACTTGGTTCATCTCCTCCCACCTGGGTCTTATGTGTGCTGATTGGGTGCCACAGCCAAGTCTGGCATGGCAGTATGTGCTGTACCCTGGCCAGACCTGGCCCAATCCCAATTCCAGCTCATGCTATTTGGGGCTACAGCCTAGTCCAGCGCAGCTGGACTCCAGACCCAGCCCTCTTGTAAACTGGCTTGTTGCAGTCCAACCAGGCCTGACCCACACTCCATTCTGTCTCTTGAATATCCCCAGTGGGTAATATGAACTGACCTAGTCTGTTTCACCGCCAACTTGTGCCAAATGTATGCTAGTGCATACAATTACCTGGCCTGGTCTAGGCTGCTTCCTTTCTTGGTTCTTGTGCTCACCTGCAGGGACTGTGTCCCAACAGAGAAGTTTCCCAAGCTCCTCCATTAGAACCTCTCCCAATGCCAGATCTAGTGCCCATCAGTGGGTCTATAGGCCAGCCCTACTTAGTCCACCTCCTGCCTTACCAGGAATAGTGGCTTTTCCTGTCTGGCCTTCACCCATTCTGATTTTCACTTGTTGGTGTTACAGCCCAGTCAAGCCTGGTCTCTACCCAGACACAGCTCACACATGGCTCAGCAGGGGTAGAGACCTAGCCCAGCCTGTCCTACACCTACCCTGATTCTCAGAAGTACCAGTGGGTGTTGGAATGAAGCACTGTCTGTGCACTGCAGACCCAGCCCACCCTTATGCCAAGGGACACTGCAGCCAAGTTCAGACCAGAAAGCAGCCCCCACTCTGGCCCTTGCACTCAACAGTGGGAACCACAACTCAGCTAGGGCATCCCCTTTGCTCCCCAACCAGGCCTATTCCCAGCCATAGATCTTGCATGTGCCAGTGGTTGCTCTGACCCAGCTTGGTATAATCCCTCACCTATCTTGGCCTTTGCCTTTGGATGCTGTAGCCTGGCCTGACCCAGTCTGCTCCCAGTCTCAACTCTCTCTGATGTGTGCTGCAACATGGTCCAGCCCAGTTTACTCTCATCCCTGGCTCCTGCAAACCAGTAGGTGTGACAGCTTATCCTAGCCTGATCTGTACTCCAGCCTGCTTCCTAAACTTGTTGGTGAGCTAAGGTTTGCTCAGCCGTTTCCGGTCTGCCCCCTTCTAAAACCAACCCACATATTTGCCAACAGTTGGAACTGCCTTGCTCAGCTTGCCTGACCCTCAAGCCTGGACCACGTGTTTACTAGCAAGAGCTATGACCCACTAAGAGAGTTTTCCAAATTCCCTCACTCAGCCTACTGCTGGACCTAGATCTCACACATACCAGCAAGTGTTAGGCTCTTGCCCGGCATAGCCTGCCCCTCCATCTTGGCCTTGTATGAGCTGGTGAATGTTGTGGCCTGGTCCACTCCACACCTTGTTTTATGATGCATATGGAAGTGCTGTAGCTTATACCTTCCCAGGCTATTCTTGGTCCTTGTACCTGTGAGTGTTGGCAGGTTCCATAATCACACTTAGCTCAGCCTGTCACCACCCCAGCTCTTGAGCTAACCAGTGGGACTTGTATTTCCATAGGGTTTGGCCCACATATATTTTCCCACTGCCTGGCAGTGGTGGATGGCGAGCTAGGATCCCCAACAGCAAGCCTTGCCTGACATAGATTCCCCCAGCCACTGCCACATAGCTGGGAGATTTAGACATCTGTGCCTCTGCACAGACTTACGTGGACTCTGCCCATCAACATGGCCACAGGGTGCAATGTAATTCTTATATGTGTTTGTATGACTTACATGTGTATAAGATTTAGTATTGGGAGGAACAAACATTGAAGGTTGTATCCAGATGGCTGTTTTCATTTACTAGTAAGGATTCTGATAACTTACCAGTGTGGTTAAAATAACTAGATTTTGTCAAAAATTTCACACAACCAGAAATTTGACTAAATCTTTAGTCCTTTAACGTAATAATTTAATCAATTTCATTCACTTAATGTTAGTTTTTAAAAATACATTTGAATTTGACAGTAAATTCAATTTCAATATAGTTTAAATTACTCAGGTTGACATCAGAATCATCTGCACTGTAATTTTAGGATCATTTGTTAATCATTTCTTTACATGAACCTTGTGATATTTGTATGCACAATGAAAAAGACTATTTTAGCATACTAATTGGTTAAGACTTTAAAGAGAAAAAAATGACTCTATAAGCAAGCAAATATGTACAGAAGAACAAAGAGACAACATATGGGGGAATAAATCTGCACTTTTTAATGTGAGGACCATAAACCCTGTAAGTCATTTACTACACTAAATTCTACATCATGAGGTAACTATATCTACCTAGTAATAGGACAATGAAAGCTGGAATTGATGGGAGAAGTTGATTTCTGCAGATAAAATGTATTCTTATTTAGAATGTGGTATTTGGTGTAACTGCTTAGGACCCTGCATCCCATACCTGAGTTCTAGAACTGGAAGTGCTCCTGATCCCAGCTGCCCCCTGATGTGCACACTGGAAGTCAGCAGGTGGTAGTT